GTTCCTCTGCGCCTCGGGGCTCCCCAAAGGGATTTTTGGGGTGTTTTTGGGTGATTTTGGGGTTCACCGGGTGGTTTCGGGGTTTTGGGGTGTTTTTGGGGATGTTTTGGGGGGTTCTTGGGTCGATGTCGGGGTTTTGGGTATTTTGGGGGTGATTTTGGGGTGTTTTGGGGTGTTTTGGGTTATTTTTGGGTTGTTTTGGGGTGTTTTGGGTTATTTTGGGGTGTTTGGGTTATTTTTGGGTTATTTTGGGGTGTTTTGGGGTGTTTTGGGTTATTTTTGGGTTACTTTGGGGTGATTTTGGGGTTATTTTTGGGTTATTTTGGGGTATTTTGGGTTATTTTTGGGTTGTTTTGGGGTGGTTTGGGGTGGGTTTGGGTTGTATTTGGGTTATTTTGGGTTGGTTTCGGTTATTTTTGGGTTATTTTTGGGTTACTTTGGGGTGTTTTTGGTGTTATTTTTGGGTTATTTTGGGGTGTTTTGGGTTATTTTTGGGTTGTTTTGGGTTATTTTTGGGTTAGTTTGGGGTGTTCTGGGTTATTTTTGGGTTATTTTTGGGTGTTTTGGGTTATTTTTGGGTTATTTTGTGGTGTTTTGGGTTATTTTTGGGTTACTTTGGGGTGTTTTGGGTTAGTTTTGGGTTATTTTGGGTTGTTTGGGGTTATTTTTGGGTTATTTTGGGGTGTTTTGGGTTACTTTGGGGTGTTTTGGGGTGGGTTTGGGTTCTATTTGGGTTATTTTGGGGTGTTTGGGGTTATTTTTGGGATACTTTGTGGTGTTCTGTGTTATTTTTGGGTTACTTTGGGTTGTTTGGGGTGGTGTGGGTTGGGTTTTGGGGTGATTTCGGGGTTCCGGGGGTATTTTTGGGTGATTTTGGGGGTTCCGGGGGTATTTTTGGGGTGATTTCGGGGTTCCGGGGTTATTTTTGGGGTGATTTCGGGGTTCCGGGGGTATTTTTGGGTGATTTTGGGGTTTTCCGGGGTTATTTTGGGGTGATTTTGGGGTTCCGGGGTTATTTTTGGGTGATTTTGGGGTTCCCGAGCCCGCCCCCCCCCCAGGTGAACGAGTGCATGATCGGCACCGCTCAGGCCAACCGGAAGTGACGCCATCGCCCCCATTCCCGCCTTTCAAACGCGCACCCCAATAAAGATTAGCATTTTCACGGAGCAGAGTGATTGGCTGCCGCTGTCACGTGCTTATCCGCAACGGCGCCGCCGGGCCGCCGGAATGCCGCGCGCTGATTGGCTGAGCCCGTACGGCCGCCCTGCCGGCGGCCATCTTGCCGCGCTTTCGCCTCGCGCCTCGAGGCGCCTCACGGCCGCCGTACCGCCGCCATCTTGCGCTCCACCTCCGCTCCTGCGCGGCTCCGCCTTCCCGGCCGTCCCCGCGATGGCGCGGGGCTGGCGGCCGCTGCTCCGCCCGCCGCCGCGCCGGGAACGGCGCCGAGCGGCCGGAAAGCCGCGCGGGGCCGCGAGGGTTAAAGGGGCGGGGTCCCGGCGCGCGCCGCACGTTAAGATGGCGGCTCCCGTCTCGGCGGCGCCGCTGCCCGGATGAGGCGGCGCGCTGCGATTGGTCGGCGGGCGTGACCACGCCCCTTTCTTTGTACGGTGTCATG